GGAAAGAAAAGGCATGATGTTGGATATCAGAGTGTGATCATAATAAGTGAGACATCTACAGTTATTCCGTGAATGATGTCTATCTCCAGAAATAGGGAATTACTTATTGGCTCCTTTCCTTTTAATTTTCTTAGAAATATGAAACTCTCAGAAGTGAAAAGATTTTCAAAAATTTGCTGCAGCAATGACAAATATTCCAGAAAGCAAGACTGGAGTCATTGAAAGTGTTTCTCATCTTCTTGTTTATTGTGCTTAACTATGCCAAGATTTCTTAGCAGTTCTCTTTTCCCAGTTGAGATATCCGAAGACTGAATGTTAAGAATTCACTCATGTAGTTACTTATCAACAGAGTGGTGGATTTTTTTATCATTTTCTGGGACTCTGTTATTTTCTGGAAGCTCTGTTAGGAGTGCTAATCAGGTGTCATTGAATTTGAATTCAGAATCTTCAGTTGCAATTTGTGAAAATGCTCTGAAATGTAGAATTTAGGATAATACTAGAACTTTCACTTAAATGAAAGTGTTTTTAAAAAGTTCAACTACCTTTTCTTTTTTTCTTCCTCTGCCTTTTACTATATTCCCTACCATGTATGGAAGAACTAATGTTCATTTTATTAGTTTGCCTTCTATAAAAATTCAGGGGAAGTCTGTAGCTCTCGTTCTGGGACAGTGGAGTCCATGTGTCTCCTATTGAATATAAGCTTGCTTTGGTCAATAGAACAGGGACTATGAGTGTTGGTCTCGAGAGATTTGGTAAGATTCCCCTCATTCTTGGAACACTGTAACCTCCATGCGACAAGGTCAGGATAACCTGCTGGAGGATGAAATGTCACACAGATGAAGGCCATTCCAGGCAAGTTGCTAGTGACCTACTAGATGTCTGCAAAAGCACATGCAAGCCCAGACCAAAGCAGCAGAACTATTTGACCAATCTCCGGTCCTAGAACTGAACAGTTTTGGGGTAATTTGTTATATACCGAGAGATAATTAATTGATGAGAGTTTCTCACATAGTGTGACCAGAAATTTCACCAAGCTGACATCATGGATGTGAATGTTATATATTCTATAATCCTTGTCCTTGGCTACGTAGTATTGGTTATACCTCCAAAATACATCTAGAATCAGACTATTTCACCCCATTTATGCCACTACTATCACTACTGTTCTGGCCCATTCCACCATTGTGTGTCAGTGGAATACATTCCCTTCTCCTGCTCTTGCCTTGTAAGAGTCTCTTGTCACCCACAGCTAGAATGATCCTTTTAAAACAAAGAGATCCTATCATTACTTTACTCAAAACCTTGCAGCAGTTTCCCATTCCATTCAGAATAAAGCCTAGGATGGTCCTTAGTGTCCAAATCAGTCTGACTTCCTCTTCCTACTAGACTTCTCCCCAGACAGATCAGTAAGATCCCACATTTGTAGTTGCTGTTTCTTCTTTTTTCAGAATGTTCTTTGCCTAAGTAACTACATGTCTTGCTCAGTCTGTCCATGTACTTACTCTAATGTCACTTACTCAGAGCTTCTGTGAACAGCCTATTTAAAATTTCAGATCTCCTGAACTTCCTGTTATCCTTCCATCCCACCCCCACACAACACTGACCTCCATTTGGGTTGTTACATATATTAGTCTTCTAGGGCTTTAATAAAACATACCCAAAATTTGATGGCTTAAAAAAATAATTACATGTTTACATTTCTAGAGGCTAAAAGTTGGAAGTCAAAGTGTCAACAGGTACAGCCATACCTTGGTGTTCCTTTGCTTTAAAACTTGTTGAATTTGATGTGAAATTTTTGTCCTAGTTATTCATCATTTGATACTCAACATAAAAGGTAGAACATGGTGTCAATTGCCTCATGACTTGATATCCTTTCCAGGCAAAGTAATTTGTTGCTTGTCAGTTTTTTGTACTTGTCTTGCCTCCCAGAACCAATTAATGCTGAGTATCAAGGCACCACTGTATTTTCTTCTAATATTCTAGGGGGGAATTTTTACTTATGTCCTCCATCTTCTGGTGGCTCAAGGCATCCCTGGACACATGGATACACAACTCTGATATCTGCTTTCATCTTCCCATGGCCTTCTCTTTGGTCTTTTCCTCTCTTCTCTCATATAAGAGCCTTCTCATTGTACTTACGACCCACTCAGATAATCCAGGATGATCTCATTGTGTGATCCTTAACAGTAATTATTACATTTCAAATGCCTGTTTCCCCTAATATGTCTTATAATCACAAGTTCCATGTTGAAATAATTAACATACCTTTTTGGTAGCCACCATTCAACTCACTACTATATATGTATGTATTATGTTTGTAGAAATGTATGATCTGCTATTTTAGCTCAATAAACTAAGAAGTATTTTATTTTGTTATTATCATACCTCTACAGGAACACAGTAGATATTTAATAAACATTAGTTGAATAAATGAATACAGTAAGTTAAAATATATATTGCATGTGAAATTACTATATTCACATCTTATTTGTGAAACTTCTTGTAAGGTTGGTTAGTGATAACCACATCTTCCTTCAGGGTTTGGTTCCTGAGCAAACTACTAAAACTCACCATCAGACTTTTGCATGGCAACTTCTGCAAACTCACTAATGGCAGCTTAAATCTTTGAGTTTACTTCATGTACCCACATTAAATAGTTTATTTCTATGTGGATTTAACCATTACACTGATATAAATGCTCTTCTCTCTGATAGGATTTCTACCTTAGTCCAAGCTGTACCCTCTACTTTCCCCAGCCTGTGTACTGTCAGAAGTCCTTTCACAAGGAAATCAAGGGCACATTACTGCTTCTTGTTTGTTCTTTGAAACACAACTTAATAGATTTGCCAAGAAACCCTATTTCCATACTTTCCTTTACCTGGGTACTTGTGGAAGGAATAGTGAATCAAAGAGAACCTTATATTTACAGCCTCCTACACTGTGTACAGGGAGCCCATTCTGTTAGGGATGGCTTCAGATAGGTGAGAGAGCACAGGATTACCAACTAGCATCCTCCAGGTGAACCCTACCCATGTGGAAGCTTGTTTAGACCTTGCTCTGCTCTGGGGAAATAACAGTCAAGGTCTTTTGGTCATATTGGTTGATTCTCATAACTACTATGTGAATCTTGCAGAGAAGCATTGTTATTCCTATTTTACATATAAGCAGTCAATGTTTAAGAGAGTGGAGGTAGTTTGTCTAAGGTCACACAACAAAAGTATGTTCAGGATAAAATTCAGGGTGTTACCAGAGTTCCCTATCTTTCATTTCTTGATCTCTACTTCTTATATCTTTTCCTGTTTTTAATGCACATGTTTAATGTTTCTATATGACTCGGCCTTCACTGTTTGTTTCATCTGAATTCACTCTTCATAAAATAATTCCTTTTTCCTTTAGGGAGAAATACATTAATAATCACTTTTTATTGCACTAGTGGACCAAACTACATCCCATGAGCAAACATTAACTATAAGCATTATTTCTTTTTGTGTGTTTTCTAAAGTGAGGGGTGCTTCTGTTTCATCTTTGTTTTCTTTCTTTTCTCGAACCTACAATTCACATTTGTCCATTTTTTATTGTTAACTGTGCTCCAGGTATGGTAATTCATAATTTCAAATACTTCCCTTCACATTAGCTTCCACAGTTGGCCTCTGAAGAAGCATGCTTCTCCCTAGGACACACCCCTTGTGGGGGGAGCTGGGGAAAGAATCCAGGAGTGAGGAGACGGTTTTGGCCTCTGCTCCCCACTGCCTGTTCCACAAACATATTATTCATCTCTTTAAGTATCTTCAGGCAGCTCACAAAACAGGACAAATGCTTCCACCTAATGCATATTCAAAAGAAAGAGAAAACATTCTTGTGAAAATGTTGCTTGCACTTAAGTGAAAGATTTACAAATGCAATATGTGCTCCTATTTTGGATTTTTTATATAAAATTAAATTCCTGCTGATAAGAGAATATTATATTGAATGAAATTTAAAATAAAATTCCTTTTGCTGTTGGTGAGGCTGTGGACCAAGGGTGGACCACATAGATTTGTATTGATCAAAAAGGTCTGTGTGCATATGTAAGGTGTCAGATAAATAAAGACAGTTTAGAATCACTATGGAATGGAAGAAAAATACTTGTCAAATCCTAAAACTGGGCTGATTACTTGTATGTAAAACTTGTATGTAAAAAGAGTGTAGAAAAAGTAAAGGCCAGAGAAAGTAAAAGAAAAATTAAAAGGAATGAAAAAGCACTGTGATTAGAAGAAAAGAGTACTTGTGAGGGCAAGTTCATTCAGGAATTAATGCATCTGGTGATATTTATTTATCATTTGCTTCATGTCCATCCATCAAAAGATATAAACAAACATTGTGACATTAAACATTGTGAAGGCAAATATGAAATGCAATAAAAGGAAACTGCATAAATTATATCAGAAGACAAAATATTATTGTACAGTTATGTTCACTCCCAGATAAAAGAAAACACTCTATTTGAAGCAGAAAGGATTAACATAGGTGCTGGCAAAAGTCTTGCCAGGACTTGAGAAAGCTTCCAGATTCTGCTACCAGGACGCACTCCCAGCACATCCAGAATGTGATTGTGGAGGGAATTTCTACCTCTTTCACAAGTAGGTAGATGGGAAATCAAGAAGCCACTGCCAAATCCAAGGGCCTCAAGGTTGTTAATGGTTGCTAGGTCCAAAAAGAGCTGACTAATACACCACCATCTCTCCTGTCATTTAACCCAGTCATTAATCTACTCATAATCTCAAAAGCTCCATTTAGGTGGCAGCCAACAAGAATGCTCTTTTCTAGCTCTCTCTCTGTGATAGGCATTCTCTTAGAACACAGAGGACACAGCACAGATTCAAACAACCAAGGGCCTAAGACTGTCTTGGGCACAGGGGGCTGCTGTGGAAACCTAGGTAGAGAAGGAATGAAGGAGGAATGCTGGTGGGAGGCAGAACAGGCACTCAAGCAATTTTCTCTTTCTCATCACTCATAATAAATTAGGTAGACCCAGTTGCCTGGTAACAGGACAATTTCTTCAGAGTTTCTTTCACCTCCCGATTTCTGAGGCAATAAATGAAAGGGTTGAGAGCTGGGGTGACAATGGCATAGAAGATAGAAATAACCTTGTTCATATTGAAGGCATGGATGGCTCGTGGCCGGGCATACATGAAAATTGTGGCTGAGTAGAAGATGGTGACCACCACCAGGTGGGAAACACAGGTGGAGAAGGCTTTCTGCTTTCCTGTGGGCATGCGCAACACAGTGGTCAGGATGCATCCATAGGACAGGACAGTGATGGAGAGAGGGAAGAGAAAGATGACCAGGGCCAGGACAAAGTCCACCAGCTCAGCTATGGACATGTCTGTGCAGGAGAGGTTGAGTACTGGAGAGATGTCACAGAAGAAGTGATTGATGATATTGGGCCCGCAGAAGCTGAGACGGGAGATGAAGTAGATCTTTGCCAAAGAGACGCCAAACCCTATGCCCCAGGAACCAAGGGCCAGGCGGAAACAGAGCCCATGGCTCATGATGTTGGGATAGTGGAGTGGACGGCAGATGGCAACATAACGGTCATAGGCCATGGCCGCCAGGAGTACACATTCTGTGCACATGAGTGCGATGAAGAAGTAAAGCTGTATCATGCAGTGAGTGAAGGAGATGCTGTTGCTCATAGACCAGAAACTGAAGAGCAGCTTGGGCACTGTCACAGAGATGTACCAGGTCTCCAGAAAGGACAAGTTTGCCAGGAAGAAGTACATGGGCTTGTGCAGTGGCCGATTCTGCTGCACCAGAAGGATGATGGTCATGTTTTCAGTCACTGTCAGAACATAGGACACCAGGAACATCAGGAACACTGCAGTGCGCATGCTCAAGCTACCAGGAAACCCCACCAGAATGAACTTGGTGACCCAGGTCTGGTTCCCCACCTCCATACTGAAGATACAGGGTGTAGCTGTCCTACAGGAAAGAATCACTTGGTCAGAATCTGTAGTCCACTTCAAATCTCTCATTCTGTGGGCCTAAAAGGAATACTGCATTCGCTGACTATTGGCAAGAGCAAAATTTATTAATACCATATTATAGGTTAGTTGAAGACCTGGATACATTATGCATATAATGCAATTGCCAAATATCCTCTTTATACATATTCATTATGTCCATTTTAATGATGAAGAACTGAGTGTTGGTGAGATTTCAGTGACCAATCAAGTTCTTAATGATAGCAGAACAGATTACATTCATGTCAAAAGCCACATTTTATGTAATATCCTAGCTGCCAGTTTGAAAGGATAACCCAGCCCTCTTATTCCTTAATCTGCTCAAAACCCTGAAAGTTCTTCCTTACGATGCATTCAAGTCTTGTACACTATTGCTTTCTTCTCCTCTCCCATAACTGGAGATGGAGAATGGTTTTCACTGTCTGTGAGTTATGTGACAGTTATGTGAAGGTTGGACTCTTCAGTATTAAACACCAACACTTCATTCCAGGCCCAGGTCTGTCACTGATTTGCTATGCGACTTTGAAATCATAGCCACTCTGAGACCCTGTTCCCTCTTTGGTAAATGTGAATATTAATATGTATTCAACTGATGGTGCCATAGATCAAAACCCAAATGATGCAACACAAGTGATATTTTATACAAGCTATAAACTACCATAGGTATGGAAGGAGCTCTTGCCCCTCCTTAGAGCAGGAAAGAAGGTGAGTATAGGATGTCAGGAGCAGAAGTAACTATGATGAGTCAAGTAAAATGGAGAGCAAAACAACCTGGGACTAGCTTTCAAGGAGCTTTAAGTTCTTAGGCTGAGGACGGATGCCTTTGAGGGTTTTTTAAAACATAAGTTGAAATAGAAATGCATAAAGAAGTTGGACATGTTTTCTACCAAGATTATAAAAGACAGAATAATCCTTGTGACCTGCAATTTCCCTCTGGCCTTGGAAGATACGACATTTACACAGAAAAGAATTTCTGGTGGAACCATTTGAAAAGCTGGAGGGAGGGATGCTATGAAATGAGGCCACCACTGTTGTCCTGGGAAGGATCATAGTGGAGCCAAGAAGAGGCAGGAAACTTGAGAAGAGCCAGGACAGGCTTGGCCTATAGGTCATAATAAGGTATCTGAATAGTGGTCTAAATGCAGTGGGATATGACATGGTCACACTATGGGAAGATAATTGTCATTTCAAAATGGGCTCCACTGACACCTGACCTAGAGCTGTGAATCCAGTTGCAGGCTGTTCAGAGAAGGTAACAGTGACCTTGAACACTAGTTTCAGAGAAGTGGTAGATATGTCTTCAGCAGTAATTGGTGGATCAAAATGGAAAGAGAGCGAGATAAAGAGATACTGGAGAAATCTCAGCTATGTGGTTTATTAAATAGAGGTACTGCCTTCTATTAAGATAACTTGGGATTTTATCGGTACTTTCTTCATAGATAAAGAGGTGGCAACAGTTGAGAATTTGGCAGTGGTGTTTTGATTAGTAATTCTAATGTTTCAATTAGTATTAACTCTAGTGATATCCTCTAATAAAAAATTTATTGAGCACTTTTTAGGTGCCAAGAGTATAAGTCCTTTTCATACACCATCCCATTTAGTTGAACAAATAACTACGATGAGATATTGTAATTCTAACTGCATAGAAGAACTGTATTTCAGACATGTGAAGTAACATTTCCAGTCAGAGAGAGATAAAGTCAGGGTTATACTGGACCCAAGATCTCTCTGACCAATGAAGGCACACACTTAATCACTGGGCTGACTCACACATAGATAAAAAGATCTGATTTGATGACCTACCACCATGCTCTTACATTTAAAATTTTTACTCTAGGAAATGTTCTCTGATTCTACTAAAATTTCATTATAGGAACAGGCCATTAGAGCTGTGCCCAAATTTTAAAAAAAGAAAATAATATGACATGAGTATACCCAATCAGAAGGACAAAACAGATATGAACACAAGGAATGTTTGGTAAATGCATCACAGATAAAATACCCTTAGATGTGTTTTGAAATATGAGTACATAAGAAGATGTGGAGTTTGAGGCAGACAAATCAAAGTTACAGAAGACACAGAATTTTGAAACAGAGCCAGGCACAGTGACTAAAGCAAGGATCTGACCACTGTGTGAGCAGTGAAGTGTGTGTAAATGAACAGGGAAAGGATGGATGGGGAGTGAGAGTCTTGTCAGTATCAGATATGGGGACCTTCATACACCAGCAAGGGGTCCAAGAGTCATTCTGCAGTGCAGACAATTAATAATTGCTGGATGTTTGACAGCAGGATGATAACAATGTCATGCTACACCCTAGATTTGTCCCGAGGGGCTGGATTTGGATGGGACTGTGTTGTTCAATCAGAGATTGATAGAAACATTGGATTATGTCCTGAACTATTTAGGTACATCCGTTCACACAAGTAAACTGTATTCCTAGAGGAATCTCTGCAAATGATGAGTGGGGCTTCCTCGTTTCTCACCAGCCAAATGAAAGCTCAGAGGCAAGAATTATTGCATACAAGTAGATAAATTATGGCATTGTGCTTATTGTCTTAATAGAAAATCCAAAGACCTTTTTACTCATACATTTTTTACTCCACTTATACATACTTCATGTGATTACCCACCCTAAATGATTTAAGACCTAGAATAAAAAAAGCATGGCTTCTCTCCAGCTGTGCGTGCACCTTCTTACCTCTAATCTTGTCTGGGTTCTTACCAAAGGTAGGCTCCCAATAATTCACCTGTGAAGAAAACATAAGCTCCTTCTCTGGCAAGACAGCAGCATCTTTTTGTAACCACCGTGATAAACAAGTTGTGAGGAAGGTTTATCAGTCAGTGCAGTAACATTTGGGAGCACAGGAGCAATGTGGAGGTTGGGGTCAGAACACAGGGAGGCTTAATTCTGATCCAACACTAAAGGGTGCCTTTTAAAGGGATGGGAAGGCATCTATTCCCTCAGCTTATTGCCTAAGTGGCTGCTTCTAGATTTCAGAAGATGAGCATACCAGCCCACCTGATCCTGGGAGATTAAGAGTGGAAAGGAGAGACATCAGACATTTAGGGTTAAGTACTGCTGTGCCATAGGAGCCTGAAACAACTACATGCGGAGGCGAGATGGTCTGAGTCAGGGCATTTACCTTGGCTCAGCAGCCTTCAATGAAGTGGAGTGTGAAAACAAATTCCTCACTGGTTCTAAAATAGGAAGAAGTAGGAAAAATAGATTCAGGTATTGAGTCAGTAAGAGGAGCCCACTCCCTAATACTAAAAGGAGTGACTGGGCACAGATTACCCTGCTGCTTTCAAGCTGGTAGCCAGGACTGGAGGAGAGGACAGCCCTAGGTACCAAGGCCACATTTGTGCCCAAAGTGGCACCAGGCTGGCTTTTCCAGCATCCTGGGGCCAGAGCTCCCATTGCCTTCCTAGGAGCACTTCAGGGGTCTCAGAGACACCGAGCTGAGAAGATCACTGGATTCAGAGGCCTTTGTAGCATTATCAAGACTTTCCCTGCACCTCTGCCATGACCCAAGAGGAAAGAGTTTTGACAATAGCAGTTCAAGTCTCTCTGGGACCTCATCTGGCTATCTTATTTATCTTACATGATAATTGTTCCATAAGGGGGAAAAATTGCTTATAGCCACATACTTTGAAAAGAGCCACATTTTAATTTATTCTTTGTTGGAAGATAAAGAGGGGGGAAAAGTACTGTGTTTAAATTACCACTTACAGATTTCCAATTAGTATTCAACCTTTGGCTTCCCTGAAACAGGACAGCCATACCAGCGTTTCAAGGGAGATGCTGATACCTGAAGCAGACTGGCATTGCTTCATTTTAAAGAAAGTTTAAATGAAAGTTTTTGTTTTAAATAATACTCATGCTGTAGTTGTGTGCTAAATAAATTCATCATGCTGGAGCTATTGTTACTTTGTCAGCTGCCCTTGGGTACCACTTGAGTAATAGCTCACATTCTGGGATAAAGTGCTCATTAACTAAATATCACTTTTTTTGTGGCCTGCAGAACCCTTAAGGAGCTCTCACACAGAGGAAAACTGTTAGACTCTCTATGGTTTCATGAAATGGTAAATGGAAACATGGGAAGTTATAAACAATTCATTCTGAATTGCCCCTGGTGGCTTACAGTAATCAAGCAGGCATCCTTTGATGTAGCTTCTCTTACAGACTGAAGTATAAAAACCAAATTGCAATGGAGAAAAATGAAGTGATTTGCTCGAATTTCTGACCTTGATTTATCTTAAAGTCTAAAAAATATGTTAACATCCCCTAGAATGTATCATTGGATGTTAACAATAATTGCTCCAATATGGATTTAAACTATTTTGTTATGTTGGTTACTAACAGAAACAGGACCTAAATTTCACCCAACAGTAGTTGCCTTAACCACATCATGGTCACCTGTGTGGTAGAAGAGTGCTAGTGAGAGCATACTTTTCCTCTAGAGTAGGAACTACACACCTATTGTGAGAGGAGACCAAGAATTACTGTGAAGATGACCTTTAACTCTTGTAGCAAAATTCCATATAAATAATCTTCAATAGATCGGAGGAATCCATCAGATACACACCACGTACAATCTATGACACACCGACACAATGTCATCCTCCAGCTCAACTCTCTGGCTTTTCTTGGATTATTATTTTTACCATTTTATATATATATATATGGCCTATAGGTACTGGTAGTTCCCAGTTGGCATCTTCTACAGACTCCTATCCAAGTTACATGGGAAGCTATCGGAAACCCGGGAGCCCATTGCGTTGTTCTTCAGTCCTAAGGTCCCTGGCTGTCTGCCTTCCTGTTTCTGAATACTGTAATAAATACAGTTGTGTTATGTCCAGTTTAAACTGATGGGAGCAGCTCATGTTTTAAATTATTACTTGACATTCAATTGTGTGAATGTGCCAGAGTCA